TTTTTTTTTTTTTTTTTTGGGTAAAAGCTAAAGTAAGGTTAAAACTAATTAAATGCAATTTTTTTTTTGAAAAGGTTCTTATGATGACTTTTTAAAACTTTGTTTTCCATTTCTTAATGGTATTGATAGCTAATGTTACAAACAGGTAGCTTCTTTATAGCTTTTGGAGTATTTGTTAAGCTTTTAAATTTGATAATTTTTATCAATAGTTAAAATTTTGACTATTTTATGTGAAATATTCTTAATTGAGGCTATTTAGCACTTCTCTAAAATCTTTATCGAGCCAACACTTCTCCAAAATAAATTTTAGGAATTCTTAACTCTTATACTGACCTAGAGTTTTCCATACAGCTATATTTCATCTAATCAACTAGAATTGATTAGGGTTGCTGCCAGTATTAACGGAAGGATGTTACCATCTAAGTAGGTCAGCAGGCCCCTGTCCTCCTTTCTACAGATTTTAGTTTCTGACCTGGCAGACTCTAGCCGTTAATTTATGTTTTTGGAGTCTGTAACACACTGTTTTTGCACTAGTTTATCAATGAATACAAGCATTTGAAGGCCTAAAAACCAAACTAGAATTGATTAAATTTAAGCCCTCTTATTGGCTGAATCAAAAAAGTGGCCTGATTTATTTTTGGATGTGTGGTGTTCATCACCTATGGAAGCCGGAGGATAAAGCTGATTTTTAGTCCAGTGTACCGTGTGGTGTGGGGCATTAGAGTTTTATTATTTTTTTATTATTTTTTTTATTATTATTATCAAGGGAAATTACAAGGGGAAAAGGGTAGTTGGTACCCTCTTTGAATTCAGGACCTACCTCAAGAGAGTACACCAAGCTTTAAACTAGGCTAGTAAACCATTTGCGTAATGAAGCCTGGTTCGTTTGTTCTTGTTCGAGGCTTTGAGTTGTTTTTGTTCAAGGGCGATTATCTAACGAGGAATAGGTGAAACTAAATTTGTAGCAATGGAGAATAGTATGTGTGATTTGACTGCTTTATGGTATAGGCAGATCTTTTATTTGCACATTAAACATTATTTTAAAATTTTCACTTTTAATTAATATGTTTTATAGTTTAAAATCTATAAAAATATAAAATTAACAACCAAATCAAACATAAGTTAAAGTGTAAATAGAGTATTTGATTGTTAATTTTTAAGTTTTTTATAAATTTTAAATTTTAAAAGATTTGACCATTAGTGAAAATTTTAAAAAATATTAATTACAAAAAATATAAAATTTAAAATGCAAATAAAGAGCGTCATATTATTGTATTATGTTGACAAGGTTGTATTGGCCACGTCTTAGCCACACACAACAATGTAATAACCAAGCAAATTTTAAAATATTATTTTAAAAATAATTAGTAATTATGATTATTAATTATTAATCAATAAAATAATTAATATTAATTAATTAAAATTAATTAATAAATTAATATTTTTAAATACTATAACTAATTATTTTTAAAAAAACGTAAATTTACGTGGCTTCAATAATAATATTTACATGTGACAATAATTATATCAGATTATATTATAAATTATTATGAATAAAGAATCCCTTTTATTTTTTTAAAGGTATATTTATTTTTTTTTTAAAGAAAAATAGAGGATGAGATAAAAGAAGAGATAAAAGAAAACCCCTTTATTTAGATACCAACAAATTTAAGAGGGAAACACAGGGAAAAAAAAAAGTCTTTTACTTTTTAATTCCTCTCCCGTCACCCTCTCTCTCCTCTCACCTCCTCTCAAATCAAATCCACCTTAAAAGAAAATAATTTTATTTTGTTAATAAAAACGAATATTTTATCTAATTAACAGTTAAATTAATTTTTTATACCAATCAATTAAATTTATATTTAATTCAAATAGATAGTACTTGCAAAATTATGAATTAGTTTAATATATTCAACTATATGGTTAATTATGTAAAATTTTATATTATTAAATATAAATATTAAAAAATACAAGTTATTTAATTAAATAATTATTATTATCAAATCAATTATAAATTTAAAAAGTACGACTTATGTGCATATAAAGAATAAATAATTTAATTATTAGTGTTATATTTTATAATTTGAAGTATATTAATTAAATTGTATAGCAAAAATTATTAAATTGAATAGAGTTCTTAATATTTAGAGATCTATTTTATCTACCGTCCCGCACTCGGTGGCCCAATGCCCACCCCTTGCAGGGACGTGCGTAGGACTAAAAGAATTTGGGATCAAATCCCAAGTCCCCCATTCCTCTTTCTCCCAAAAAAAAGATTTTACACTGTTCAAAAAAAAAAAGATCTATTTTATCTAATAATTTAAATTATTTAGTCTAATGTTATTTAGACTATATAACATATATATTAACTATTGACTCAAATATTTAACGCAATATTTAAATTGCTGAGAGGGAGCTTTCAGGCTATTAGAGTAGTAGCTGTAGTTTCCCCATAAATTGCTAAGAAAACGCATCCTAAATGGGCTAAGGCCACACCCTAAATGGGTTAAGGCCACATAATTTTTTTATGTGGATAGTTAATTGTAGTATTTGAAAATATTAGTGTTTAGATTAATTTTAATTTATTAAATAATAAATATTAAATATTTTTTTATTTATCAATTAATAATCGTAGTTATCAATTATTTTAACAATTAATTTAGTAAAATTAATATTTTAAAAGATACCATAACTATGCCCTTTTAAATGGATTTATATAGCGGCTAAATTAATGGTTAGGCCCCCAAACTTACATAGATGTTAGTTTTAAGACCTTGAACTAAAAATACATAATTTAAGCCCTAAACTACACAAACTTGTCAAATTCATCCCTTATTAACGGTAAAACTGCCATCCACTGTTTATTTTATGCTCACGTGGGCTTCTGTTTGAAGAAAAATGGAATAATTGCACTTTGAATTTTCCAAATTTCCTATAAAACATGTCATTAAATTTTAGAGAATTTAACTAATTGAATCTAAAATAGGTTAAACATTGAAAACCAAAAAACACAGTCACCCATCCAGGAAAAGCTTGTTCAACCTGTTTGGATTGGATTTGTTGGGGGGATTTGGATTAAATCAAAGGTATACATCTCTTAGGACCTATCAAGTGTTTTAATTTAAAAATATAATGATCTGTGTATATTGTCTCTGTGAATTATGGATACACTAACCTAGCCTTTTGTCAAATTAAAAACGTTACATACTCCTTCCTTTGTATTAGGCTTGGTTGATATATTTTCCTTTTCCTTTTTTTTTTTTTTTTTGAATCTTGGATTAGTAATTGGTCAATCAGAAGAAGTCAAATTGGATTGATTTTGAGCAGTACATTTTTTTTGTTTGTTTGTTTCTATTTTCTATGAGACTCTTTTGGATTGTTTGGGACCTTTTTAGTATTGAGTAATAAGAAGACAAGCAAAACGTTAGTTCAAAAATATAAAGTTTCTTATATTAAAGATTTTTCCCTTTTCACTTTTTGGAGTTTGATAGAGAAGGAAATATAAGGTCTTTATTATCTTATATGTGATTTCTTTTTTATCTGTAATCAAATCTCTAAATGGGTGATTAGTTTTTAAGATTTTAGCATACAATTTATTTAGATTAGACTGATGAATTTTTGTAAAATTTAAGAACCTATATTGTAAAGGAAGTTGGAGAAGTTTAAGGACAATTTTACAATTAATCTATGTTTCTTTAAACAAAAGGCCAGTAGAAGAGAAATAAACGGTGAGTTAACGTTCTGCTGTTGGTAAGGGGCCACTTTGATCAGTTTGTGTAGTTTAGGGGCTTAAATGATGTATTTTTAGTTGAAGGTCTTAAAACCAACATCCACGTTTGTTTGAGGGCTGAAGCAATAAGTTAGCCTTATATAAACAAAGTCGTATGGAATTTTGGAATTGTATAAAATAAGGACATTTAGATAATTAAATAAAAATGTTTAAATATGTTTAATAAATTAACATGAAAAGAAAATTTATTTAAAATATTTACTAAATAATTTTAATATTTTAAATATCAAGATTTACTAATTTTTATATTTTTATAATATTATTTAGTTTTTTCTAATTTAGTTACAAGTAAGGCCAAGAAACGAAATTACTTACACGTTGATCCTGTGTCCACAATCTCAGCAATTTGACCAAACGTGACACAAGGACACCAACACGTCATGCAACCTGCCAAATAATTTAACAGGGGAAGAAAAATGATCCACCATGTACCTTTTAGTTAAGATTGCATAGGATGAAAATTATAGTAAAAAATTTAAAACTAATGATATAATGGAAATTATATTATTAAATAAATTAATATATATAAATATTATAAATTTTAGTAAATTAAAAAATTAATTATTAAATAATATAAATTTTTTATTTTGATATTTTAAATAATAAACCTTATGCCATTTGATTCATACCAATTTTTAATCTCAAATTTTATTCTCAAAACTTTCCTCCAGTCTATTGTTATCCTTTAATCCATGGCCTTTAGTAAGGACCAACAAACTAGCATTTTCAAGGAGAAACTTACAATTGGGAACGTCGGAGAAGCAGTCACAGAGGCCAGAGGACCAAGGGCCTGTAGTTCCTGACTGAAAAGGAGGCGGAGGCGGAGGCGGCGCCGCTGATTCTCGTTGTGCGTAGTTTCCGGCGTTGTAGTGTTGCTGGTTGGGTGCGATAGCTGGAACTCCGTACGCCGGTGACTGGCTAAAGGCCGCAGGCGGGAGTTTTGAGGGCTCCTGATCATCAGGGAGATTGGGGTTTGAGGGGTACATGATAAGGGGTGGATGAATGGCCTCAATGGGTATCGTGTTCAAATATATATAATAATAAATGGAGATGGATTCCTCGTGAAGGCTGAAGAATGAAGACTACTGAATTCGTATTTATTTATTGAGGAGTTCTAGGGGCACTCGCCTTCTGTACTCTACGTCCAACACTTTCACTTTTATTGGGCCACGTTAGTCTGGTCGGCAAGAGGTTGCCTTCAAAGCTGAAGAAAGCTTACGTGGCCCAATGAAATGGAAAGTGTTAGCCGGAGAGTGCAAGAGGCGAGTGCCCCTAGCACTGCTCTTATTTATTTATAACAATACAGGTCGGCTTGTTGTACCAAAAAAAAAAAAAAACACCAATAGAAGTCGGCTTGTTGTATGTACAAGTT